GTTAACAGTTATAGTCACAGCTTTTAATTATTACGCGTTTTATTGTTTTAAATGCTCGCGTAATAATCGGAAAAAGTTTATTCGCATTTTTATAAATGAATTGCTGTGATTGTAACTGCGCTTAATATCATAATTAATGTTAACAATACCGGTGTACAACGGGCTGTTACATTTTATGGTATCAGAGCAGTTTTGTAAGGGAACTCTGATAAAGTAGTATTGTATCTTGTGTTGCATAGCTATCTGTGAACTGTTTATGATTAATGTATATGTGATTCCTCAGTGTGGGTCTGATCAGCTCATTCCTTTGTGTTACATGTACAGATATCATGAGCAGGGAACGGGGTCGCCGTGGAGCTAGAGGTGCAGGTCATCTAGCCGCACCAGATCCTATTACTGCAGTTCTTAATGCTCTGCAGGAAGAGACTGCTGCAAATAGAAATATGACCGAGACCCTGATGAAAAATAATCAGGACATGATGCATGCCTTTATGACTGAAATGAGGGCAGACAGGGCTTGGAACAGGAGGGATGATTCTCCTCCACACACGGCTACGGAGACTGCTACCCGTACGCCATCTGTTACTCCTCAGCAGGAGGGGAGTGGTGCTAGTCATCAGTCTGGTGAGGCTAGTCACCACACTACATATCCTACTTATATCCCAGAGCCTTTTGTGGATCCTTCTGTTGCTGCTCAGTCTTTTGGGGTTACTGGGCAGGTATATGCTGGTACGGAAGAGCATAGACTCCTTTCTTTCAGGAAACACAAACCGCCATCATTTCAGGGGTCAAGGGACCCGAAGGTAGTGACTACATGGTTGAGAGGTATGGATAAGATATTTCAAGTTATGGGGTGTCAGGACCCGCAAAGGTTGTCATATTCTGCTTATATGCTCGAGGGTGATGCACACGAGTGGTGGTATACTGCATCACAACCTTTTATTATTCAAGGGGAAGAGATTACATGGGCCTTGTTTGAGAGACTGTTTCATGAAGAGTATTTTCCTCGAGATGTTCGGGAGGCTAAACAGGGGGAGTTTGAGAAATTGGTACAGGGTACCATGACAGTTGATGCCAATGTGGCGAAGTTCAATGATCTGGTAAAATTTGCTAATTATAGGGGTGTACTGCCGACTCCTGAGTTTTTATCCGCCAAGTTTCAGAGGGGTCTGAATGAGAAAATTGCAAAAAGAATGTCTAATACAGCTGTGAGGAATTTTGCAGATCTTGTGACCCAGTGCAAACGGGTAGAAAGTGTTTATAATCGCTATCCAAAATCTGGTTCTTCGAGGACATTTGGTCCTCCAGGTAATAATAATAACAGGGGTGGCTTTCATCAGAATAACAACAGAGGTAGGGGGTTGCAGGTAAGGCAGCCTCAGGGACAGTCCAAGAGAGGAGGTGGTCAGAGAAGTTGGTTTAATGACAGAAATTCTAGTCCTCGTTGTGATAAGTGTAAGAAGTTTCATCAAGGGTCTTGTGCTGTGACCCAAAATACTTGTTTCAAATGTGGAAAGGTTGGGCACTATGCTAACAATTGTTATAGCAATACTGGGCAGGCTGCGAATCTCCAGACCTTGCCATCTGCACCTACATTTGGGCGTGCTTATACTACTAATGCACAGCAGACGGTGAAGGCGCCGAATTTGGTTAAAGGTACAATTTTCATTTCTAATATTGATTTATCTGTTTTATTTGATTCTGGAGCTACGGACTAGTTCGTGGCGGAATATGTGGCTAAGGGGTTGGGATTAAAAGTATCACAGATGATTCCCCCTATGCGTATTACTACGGCTACAGGAGAGGTTAGTGATTCCTCCTTCATTTGCAAAGAGGTCGGGTTTGTCTATGAAGGCAGGTGCTACACTATTGATTTAATTATCTTGCCCCTGGCCTCTGTTAATTTGATATTGGGCATGGATTGGTTATCTCAAAACTGTGCAATGATTGATTGCTATGGCAAGAGGTTGATATTATCTCACGAGAAGCCCTCGGTTACTCCGTCTCCCTTTTTGTCTATGTGTCAAGCTGTTAAAGCCTTAAAGGCTGGGGATCAGGGTTATATTTTCTTGGGTGGATTGGTGGGTGGTAAGGAGATTGAAATTTCTACGATTCCGGTGGTTAATGAGTTTGTGGATGTATTCCCTGATGAGATACCGGAATTTCCACATGAGAGAGAGATTGAATTCTCTATTGAATTGTTGCCTGGTGTGGGGCCTATTTCATTGGCTCCATACCGGATGGCGCCACTTGAGTTAGCTGAGATGAAGAAACATATTGAGGAACTATCTGCAAAGGATTTTATTAGGCCGAGTGTGTCTCCGTGGGGAGCACCGGTAATCTTTGTGAAAAAGAAGAATGGAAGCATGAGACTGTGTACTGACTACCGGAAATTGAATAAAGTTACGGTTAAGAACAGGTACCCATTGTTGCATTTTGATGACTTGTTGGATCAGTTGAGGGGTGTCTGTGTGTTTTCGAAGATTGATCTCCGATCCGGATACCATCAGATTTGGATTAGGCCGGAGGATGTGCCTAAAACGGCCTTTCGTTCTAGATATGGACACTACGAGTATTAGGTGATTCCATTTGGGCTTACAAATGCCCTGGCAGTGTTCATGGACTATATGAATCGTATCTTTAAACCGTATTTGGATCAGTTTGTGATTGTGTTCATCGACGACATCTTGATTTACTCTAAGAGCAGAGAGGAGCATAGTGAGCATTAGAGGACTGTGTTACAGGTATTAAAGGATAAAAATTTGTATGCGAAGCTGTCAAAGTGTGAATTCTGGTTATCTGAGATACAATTTCTGGGTCATGTCATTTCTGAGAGGGGTGTTGCGGTGGATCCAAATAAGGTTGATGCTGTTATGTATTGGGAACGACCAAAAACTGTTACTGAGATCCGGAGCTTTCTGGGTCTTGTTGGATATTATCGAAGGTTTATTGAGGGGTTTTCTACAATAGTACTGCCATTGACCCGATTGACACGAAAGGATACTCCTTTTGTGTGGACCCAGGAATGTGAGAGGTGTTTTCTAGACCTTAAAGAGAAGTTGACTACTGCTCCTGTGTTGACCCTCCCTGATCTGGAAGGTGAGTTTGAATTATACTGTCATGCTTCCAAGAAAGGTTTGGGGTGTGTGCTGATGCAAGAAAGGAGAGTTGTTGCTTATGCTTCGAGGCAGTTGAGGCCTCATGAAGAGAATTATCCGACACACGATTTGGAGCTTACTGCCATCGTATTTGCCTTAAAAATCTGGAGGCATTTTCTGTATGGGATGACATTCGCCGTATTCAGCGATCACAAAAGTTTGAAATATTTGTTTGATCAGAAAGAGTTGAATATGAGACAGCGAAGGTGGGTTGAATTTTTAAAAGACTATGATTTTGAGCTGAAATACCACCCGGGTAAAGCTAATGTGGTGGCAGATGCCTTGAGTAGGAAGTATGTTAGTGTCAATGGAAAATAAACTGAATGAGAAGATTAAAGAAACACAGGTATGGAATGACAGTGTCAAGTATTTGAAAGGGCAGAGTGGAATATCTATGAATGAACAGGGATTATTAATTTATCAGAGCAGAATTGTAGTGCCCAAAGAGTTAGCAGAGGAGGTAATGTTTGAGGCCCATAAGGGTTAGTATGCTGTACACCCAGGTGCCACAAAAATGTATCAAGATCTGAAAACTAAGTTCTGGTGGCCTGGGATGAAGAAGGATGTTGCAGAGTATGTGTCAAGGTGCTTAATTTGTCAAAAAGTCAAGATAGAACATCAGAAACCTGCAGGGTTACTTCAGCCGTTGGATATACCAGAGTGGAAATGGGAGAGCATCTCTATGGATTTTGTTGTTGGTTTGCCTCAGACTCAGGCTGGTCATGATTCAATTTGGGTAATAGTGGACAGGCTTACGAAGTCTGCACATTTTCTACCAGTGCGAGTGGACTTCTCTACGGAGAAATTAGCAAAGTTATATGTGAAGGAAATTGTAAGGCTCCATGGAATACCGGTTAGCATTGTTAGTGACCGGGACCCGAAATTTACTTCTCGATTTTGGGGAGCCTTGCAACAGGCGTTTGGCACTCAGCTCCGGCTGAGTACTGTGTATCACCCGCAGACTGATGGTCAGACTGAGAGGACCATACAGACACTTGAGGATATGCTGAGGGCTTGCACACTTAAGTAGGGCACTGCTTGGGATAGATATTTATCACTGGTGGAATTTTCTTATAATAATAGTTTTCACTCCAGTCTGAGCATGGCACCTTATGAGGCATTGTATGGGCGTAGATATCGTACTCCTACTTGTTGGACAGAGGTAGGTGATAAAGATAGGTTTGGGCCGGATTTTGTGCAAGAAACTACAGCACATATTGAAATGATCAGAGAAAAACTTAAACAGGCACAGAATCGGCAGAAAAGTTATTATGATAATAGACACAGACCGCTGTAATTTGAAGAAGGCAATCATGTATTTGTGCGGTTATCTCCAGTTACCGGTGTTGGACGTGCATTGGGAGTGAGGAAGCTGAGTCCTCGTTTTATTGGGCCGTATCAGATAATGAAAAGAGTAGGACCAGTGGCCTATCAGCTTGCCTTGCCCCCACAGTTGTCAAATCTGCACAATGTTTTTCATGTATCGCAGCTGCGGCGTTATATTCCGGATGAATCACATGTGGTGATACCGGACGATATTGAAATTATAGAGAATCTAAAGGTTCCTATAGGTCCTAGTGAGGTCCTTGACCGCAGTGAAAAGAAGCTTAGGAGTAAAGTGATACCGATGCTAAAGATTCAGTGGGAAGGACGTACGCCTGAGGAGGCTACTTGGGAGCGGGAGGATGAGATTCTCCGGCTATATCCTGAGTTAGCGGACAGGTATGATTTAATTTTGCGGACAAAATTCTAAAAGTTGGGGTGATTATAACACCTCACAATTTTAAATTAAGTGTTTAAACTATTAAGTGAGTAATTAAGTGAAGATTCAGTGAAAAACCTAAATACTAGGCCAAAATACAAAGAAAGGGCAAAACAGTAATTAGCCAACACGCAACCCTAGGAAGATAAAAATTGAGTGGAAGGTCTCAGATGTTAAAAATAACCCTGGAAATGGGTTCAGAACGAAAAATTGAGTGGATAGGCAAGTTTCAGAAAAATCAGTGAATAATGTTTTTCGCTGGTAAAAATACCGCTGTACGATTGCACCGTAAAACATGCCAGTTGAATTTTGAGCTCTAGGTTTCAAATATGAGTTATAAATGGTCTATTGAGTTAGGAAATATGATTTTTGATAAAATTTGGTGGAATTAAGTCATTCTGGGGAAGCGTGCCAACTACGCGCGCAGTAGCTTAAAACAGTGTTTTCTCCGAACGACCGGAAAACTCCGAACTCACCTAATCAAGTATAATTAAAGGATAATGGTTACTGTTAAAAATTAGAGTTTCTAAATAGATTGTGAATTTACAGACATTTAGTGGAATCGTAGAGAAATCCTGACGAGTTTTAAGTCGTGTGAGGTGGCGTGGGACCCACCACACTTAAAATCCACTTAATCCACCTCATCACCATTATTCATCATCACCTTCTCTCCTCCCCCTTCAGCAAAAAACCGAGCTGCCCCCTTCCCCTTAGCCATTTTTGGTTCAAACTTTCTTCCTTGCTAAATCAACCAATTCTCAACCAAATCAAGTGATTTTTGTGTTGAAATTTGTTGGAAACCACCTTCCAAACACATTGGTGGTATCCATTAACCTTGAAACCCTCTCATTGGCGAGTTATTGCCCAAAGTCAGCTGCGAATTTTTGAGAAAAATGGAGCTTCATGGAGTCATTTGAGCTTCCATTGCTTGGAGGAGTCTTGGGGTAGCTTCTAGTCTTTGTTGTGAGTATGTTTCCATCCCATTTACATGGTTTAATTGTGATTGAATTTTTGGAAACCTAAAGCTTGATTTGATGATGTGTTGTGTTAGGGAGCTCATTGGAAAATGTGTATTAGATGATAATGCCTTAGAATGATGTATTAAAGCTAGAAATGCAATGAAAATTTTAAGTGAAAATTGATGATTTTTAACTTAGGATTTTTTATGGTCATGACATGGAATTTTGGAAAATGTGTTGTGATGTTAATAATGAGTTGTTGTATGATCGTATGATGATAAAATAGGATGATAGAAGGTGTGGAATGGTTGAAATTGATTGGAAACCCCTTGGAGTGTCATAGGACACAATTCGACCCTTTGAGGAAAAATAAGTGAATTGATGTTGAAAAATGATTTGGATGATGATTTGTGTAGTTATATGGTACTTAGATGGGTTGTGTGGTGGTTGGAAAGTTTTAGAATCAATGGAAAAATAATAAATTGTGTTAGTGACCTAAATGAACCTAGAGTGAATTATTACGCAAAACGATGAGTAAAAGACGTAAAACGTAAAATCGGCACTTGAACTAGCCTTATGGCAACCTAAGGATGGGTAATAAAATGAGAAAGAAAATTTAGAAAAATAAATCTTCAAATAACACATGTATGGCCGAACCACCAAGGAGGGTGGGGAGGATTTTGCGATTTTCGCGTTCTGATGTAATTCGACGCGTACTGATGGCTGTACGTGATTGTATAGGTTGCCGTACGTCGACTTGAATACTGAACCTTGAATCAGTGAGTTGACCTTGGTCCTGGACCAAGTGGATTGAGGTAAGTAATTGGTTCAATGCATGT